ATGGAGAGTTGCAGGAGTGGACTGGGCACATGGCAGGACACCTGCTGGCGGGGACTGAGGGGCCTGGGGTGATTGGTGGGCGGAGCTTTTGGCTCAGCAGGAAGAGAGGCAGAGTGTGAGGCCAGAGGTGAAAGCAGGTGGGTTGGTAGGATATTCTTTATAGCGCTGCTTGTACTGTGTAACAATGGGAACTGGTCAAGAACCACCAACAGGAAGTTAGCTGGATACCTGGGAAGGAACATCATCGCCTGTGCTGAGTTCTGCCCAGATCCATGTGGTGAGACACCCACTGCACCAATTGCCGCACAGGAAAAGCCAGGCTTGCATGCATAGCCCTGTTATGTACATAGCTTAAAATACCTGGCCACCATGTTGAAGAAAGCAATTAAATTTAAGTGTACATTTTATTCACCCCAGTAGTTCTGCCCATCACCAGCATGAAGGTTACCTGCAGGATATCCTCTTTTCCATCCCCAGCCTTTGCAGTCCCATTGTACCCAGTAGCACATCTGGGGGCAGCGGGCTGAGAGTGGGGCTGCCTCTGCTTGTATGGCCCTCTGCTGAGTGTTTAGGTTGATGTCTGCATGGCTCACCCTGGTCTCATATCTGCGGGAGAGCTGTGAGGAGCGTGTGGCAGGCAGGCTCCCACGTGGCCCTTGACGAGCTGTCTTCTTTTCCAGACGTCCTCTTGGCTTGCTTCTGTCACCAGTTGCCGCACAGCAAAAGCCAGGCTTGCATGCATAGCCCTGTTGGTTACGTAGTTTAAAATACCTGGCCACCATGTTGAAGAAAGCAATTAAATTTAAGTGTACATTTTATTCCAGCCTCTGGTAAATAGTGCTTCCTGAGGATGCCAGCTCCAGCCCCCCTCTCTGCACCCACAGCCCATCCCCAGCCCTGCTCTGTTTCTATTCTCCAGGCTCATCACCTTCCCCACAACACAGACAAGCCCCAGCAGGGCAGGACCATCCCAGTGACTGGTTATAGAGCCCAACAGTGCCCGGCAGAGAGAAGCCCTCATGTGTGCTGCACAGATGGAGAATGTATGCATGCACCAATGGATGGATGAATGAGTGAATGGCCCCTCGCGGATTTATCTCAAGTTTTCCTCTGATTTTAACACAAGACTTGTGGTTTGGACAGTGCAGGATGCAGAGAAGCTCCCAGCTTGGTAATTGATTCACAGGGGAGCCAGCACTGGCACACAGTTTTCCTAAGGAATTTTTTTTCCTCCAATACCTACATTATTAAATGGAGAAGCTTTGTGGAGAAGGTCAGTGGAAAGTGCAAGATAAGGTGTTTATTAGGCTCATGTTCTGACACACTTTTGCTTTGGTATGAAGATGAAAACTACATGCTCAGAGGATTGAGCAAGATGACTTTATTTTGCAGAAAGGATTTAAATGCTGCCTTTAGTAAGGGCATGGTGCAGACCACTGAGAAATACGCAGTCGAATGGCTCAACTCATCAGAAAGGGCTGCCTAAGTAAGGAGATTGGTTATACTCTTCAGGTCACAGTGGAAATAGATGAATGAACCCAGATTATTTTATTAGAATCAATGTATTCCTTGTTTCTTACAAATTACTCAAGCTTGCAGGGTTATCAGAATAGGAAGAAGGTGTTACCATTTAACATCGGGAAAACAAGTCAACCGCCTGTCTTTCTCTAGTTGTCACACATTCCCCTGCAGCTTCTCCCTGGTTTGCTCAAGGTTGATTTTTTTTTTTTTTTTTTTTATTTTTTAAGTTTAGACCTTTTTTAAGTTTGATTTTTTTTTTTTTTTTTTGGTTTCCATAACTGGACTGCCCATTCCCTGAGGAGCAGGGCTTAAATGTTTGCAAACGATGCAGAGGTTTCTTTCCCAATATTACGATTTTTGCGTGGTGGCAGAATTGCGTTTTCCCATGGAAATAAGTAATTATGAAGTTATTTTAAATCCCAGGTCTGGCCATGAAAACAAAACAAGAGATGTGAGTGAGTCCCTGTGTCTGAACTGTTTGTAAAAGCAGCTGTCTGAGTGTCCAGAAAGCTGGAAACTGCCCTGTGTTTCAGGTGGACAGCAGCCACCCAGGGGACCCCTTCTTGACCCTGATCATGTGTGTAGAAGAAGCTTCTGTCTACTTGGTGTTTGTCCTCCAGGGTCCCTCAGAAGGTGCCCAGGCAGCAGTTTGGGTCCATTTGGAGAGCTGAAAACCCAGCAGCTCCCCAGACAATTAACAAGAACTGGGGCCGGGTGGGTAGGTTGTCTCAGGGTCCCCTCTGGTGACTCTAATTCACAGCCACTGCACCAGAGGGAATTGGGCATCCTAGGTTAAAATACAGGGAAGTTCTGCTCCTTAATGTGGTCCCTTGGCTATCAGCTTATCCCTATGAGCCTGACTTTCTTGTCTCCCCAGGGAACCAGGACCAAGTACACAGGCTTCCTATGAGCACTACCCTGCTGCTCGGGCCACTGAGCCCTGATTGCTAGAGTACTGGGAGCAGAGTACCTCCCCCAGGGCCCAGTTAGAATGCCCTGCTCCTAGCTGTGGGAAAGGCCAGCCTCTTTAACTCCATTGCACCAACCTGCAAGCGAATAAAAGCCAGTGAGACTTATGCATGGTTCTCAGAATGCCTGTCCACCTCCTTGGGGTCCTGGCAGAGGTGCACAGCTCCAGCTGCTCTCCGACCTGGCGGGGCCCTGGCCCCTCCTCCTGGATCCCCTGCTTGGGCCCTGCTGCAGACTGAGGGTGAACCTGTGCTGTGGGTGACAGCTGTTTCCCAGGTGAGCACAGGCCTGTGGGAGGCTGCTGTGCAGGTACTGTGGGGCAAAGCTTACACTTGGGACATGTTCTGTCTCAGTGAGGAGTTTCCTGGGGTCACCTCCTGATCATGTCCCACTTGTCACACCTTCATTCCTTACCTTCAGAAGTGAGGGACTGAAGGGCAAGGGCCTGTAAGTGGGGAATTAATGGTGCTTATCACTAGTGGTAAAGTACATTTGACCCTTGAACAACACAGGTTTGAACTGTGTGGGTCTGCTTACAGTCAGATATTTTTCAGTGACTTTAATGGGAAGTTTTTTGGAGATTTGTAACAATTAGAAAAAGTATTTTCTCTTGTCTAGATTACTGTACTGTAAGAGTATAGCACATGATGCACATACCATGGGAAATATGCGCTAATCGACTCTTTATGTCACTGGTAAGGCTTCTGGTCTCTTGAGGCAACTAGAAAAGTTTTGGGGAGTCAGAAGCTATATGTGGATTTTTTACTGCATGGTGAGTCAGCGCTCCTCATCCCTTCCTGGTCAAGGGTCAAGTGCCTTGCTTTGGTTGGAGTGTTTGGAGGTTCCCCCAGGACGGTGGCCATGGAGTAAGTCTTGGAATCGTGGGGTCTGTTGGCAGGGCCCTGCGGGGGCTACATTTATCCTCCTAGTTAGTCTCAGGGTCTCCACTATGCACACCTGACCCCCTCAGGTGCCAGCACTAATGCGATAAAATGCTGCAGGTGTGAGCACCGGTGCCGGCAGTTCTTTCCCTCCAGGAGTAAGAGGAGTGGCAAGGAGACACTGGCAGTCCTTCTAGAGGCGCAGAACCCAGGGTGCGGTTGGGAGGGTGAAGGGCAGTTCTGATGCGGGGACCAGGGGACACGACTACAGCTCTTGGGGAGCTGGGGTCCTGCAGCGGGGCTGCATAGTAGAGCAGGCGGTTGGAGGAGGAGCATTGGGTAGGAGGAGCCCTGGTGCACAGGCCCTGGGGAAACAGCAGGAACACGTTTGTGTTGGAGAAAGAGTACATGGATGCTAACGCAGAAGCACCTCAAAGCAAAGAGATGTGCATCTGCAGGCCCGGGATGGCAGTGTACCAGCGTTGTGCAGGTATGGGTTCACATGGCAGCAGAGGTGGGGCTGGAGAAGATACAGGCATCTTGTACTTTATCTGTAACTGCGCTTTTAGGACCTTATTGTTTAAGTAGTTTTAGGTTCACAGCAGAACCAAGTGGAAGGTTCAGAGATTCACATACAGCCCCTGCCTCCCCACATGCCCAGTCTCCCCCACTGTCCATGTCCTGGTGGGGATATCACAATGATGAACCCCTGCACACATTATCACCCAGATCCCACACTTACTTTAGGGTCACTTGAGGTGGTGCACATCCTGTGGGCTTGGACCAATGGATAAGGACCCAGGTCTGTCCTTACAGGACTGCCCAGAGCCACTTCGCTGTGCTACTAGTCCCCTGTGTCACCCTCTTCACCCCTCTCCACCCCCAACCCTTGGCAACTGCTGGTTTTTGTTTTCTCCATGGTTTCGCCTCTTTCAGAACCTGTGATTTTTTTGAACAGGAGGAATGTATTTATAAATTACTCTGTGGTATCAAACAAAAGAGAACAAGCTGTTATAATCATTCTGGCTGCAGTGTGGGTAATGTTAGAGGGAAACAAGACTGCGGGGGTTCAGGGGAAATGCTGGGAGAAAATGTTAGTTGATGGACAGGCCTTCCCGAGGGGATTGGTAGGGTCCTCTGGGAAACTGGAAAATGTCCTAGAGTTACCCTGAGTCGGTGTTGTTTACAGCATGCTAGGTTAGTTTAACTTTCCCTTTAATAAAACTATATAACTTGTTTTGAATGTAAAGCCATTGAGTACTAGTAGGTGGTGATGAAATCATTTTTCATCTGCTCTAATCACAGACCAGTGGTCCTTTCAGTATTATTTTCTTTGAATTTGGCTCAGCATAAATACACACACACCCTCTGTGGTGTTCGGCCGCTGGATGGCACCGCCCACATGCACACACCTGGTGTGGGGAGCAACAATGCTGCAGGCCCCTGAGAGGATGCCCATCCTTGCATAGACCCTCCGTGAACTGGCCTCCGCTCTGGCCCTCAGCCGCAGGTGTGCGCTATGCCTGCTCCTCACCGGAAGAGCCTTCTGAGAGGTGGCACGGGACCCACGTCACCGGTAGTGTAATGGCCCTGGGCTGGTTGTCACTGCTGTACCCGTTACTTTTGCAGGTATGAATGCTGCTGTCCGCGCTGTCGTGCGCATGGGCATCTACGTGGGGGCCAAGGTGTACTTCATCTACGAGGTCAGTGTTAAGTTGCACCTGCCTTCCCCACCCGGGCACTGTTGAGGGGCCCAGGCCCCACACAAGCCTCTCTGGGCTCACTGAGGCTGTGCCTCCAGGTCTCACTCACGATAGTGAGGTCTGGGCTGGGAATCAGCGGACAAAGAGAATGAGCATGGGTGCAAAAAGCCATTTGGACATCAGCTAACCGGTTTACAGTATAATGTATCTCTTCTAGAATGGATATATTCATTTAATAGAGGCTGAATTTGACCAAACATTAAGATAAATGGTAAAAAGCGGCCACTCAGAGAATGTGCAACTCAAACCCTTCCTGATATATTTCCACATTAACTTCAGAGGGACGGGACAGAACCCCAGCCCCGCCTTGCCCATCATCTCTGCTTTGGAGGCCCTGGCCACTTAGGGGAGTGTTGGGCGGGCAGGCACCAACATTATATGGACCACAATATTTCAGAAGCTATTAGGAGGAAATAATTTATATTTAGTTTTTAACTTCATAAAATATAATAAAGCCTTTATAAGTGGAGGAAATATTTTTTTTAATGGCTTTTTTCCTTCAGAATCACTTAGTATTTTATTCCTATTCCTCCCAGGATTATGTATGTGAAAGACTGGAAGGAAACATTACATTTAAAGTTTATATAGCGCATGTGCTCTGTAGAGTATGTTGTACACCGTTATATTGTGCGTTCTCTGTGTGGTACATACATTTCACAGCTACCCTGCTAAAGGTCTGTATGCTACTCCATCAAATCGGTGTCCTGTCACATACTTGACCCTTTATGGATGGTGCCATTCCCATACCACTGGACTATTTAGGTCATCCTCCGTTGTCCTTCTGTCATAACTCAGCAAGCCCTATTCAAGAGCTTTGCAGTGCTTGTCATTACGGTGGCCCTGCAATGTGGCACTAACTGAGTTAAAGGGTAGGCCCTTATCATGAGTGCCCATGTATTTCCCAAAGTGATACCTGAAACAGGTACCAGCCCACACCCAGCCCCTTGCCCTGTGCAGATGAGGTGGCACCAGATCGCCCCAGGTCCTGCGCGTGGCCCTGACCTGACTCCCAGGAGCTGGCATGGGCTCTGCTGTCTGTTTACTCAGTCATCTTCTCCTTTGCGTAGTGGCTGTTCAGCCTTTGCTCACTGGTCCCAGGAACCATTCATTTATCGTTTGCTGGAAAGATGTTTTTTTTCTGCGCCTGGGTTTACTGATTTAACTGGGGTGCTGCAGGTTTGGGGTTTGCATTTACTGGGGTTGGGCAGTGTTAAAGCGTTGGGCCCAGTCACAGCGTTTCCCGAGTTTTGCTGTGTCATGTTCCTCTCGGATCTCTTTCCAGTCAAATTGCCTTTGTGAACGTGTGTCCTGGGCTGAGGCCTGGCGGCTGGCTGCCTGCTCACAAATGTGGAATGAGCTTGTTGGACCCCTGGCCTCTCGCCAGCCCCACTGACTGACTCCCCTCCACTGGAAACAGGCGTTGACGTACAGAGTGCCACAAGCCCATCTTCCCTGCCCGGCTGAGTGTGCGTGCATGTGGGCCATTTCCTCTGCTTCTCATTTTATTTCAAGGAGGGGTATGCATCCTGCTTGGAACTTGAGAGAGAACTCACCTTGGCTGATAGCAGCCCCTATGACATGAACCTGGTTTTAAAAATCTTTCGGGGTCTCTGAAGGGTGGGTGTGTGAGAGCTGGTGGGTGGCAAGGAGTCCTGGACTGGAACAGATCCCATGTCCTAATAGGGACATGCAGAGGATTTTGGCACTTCCTCCCTCAGGAAGGCAGTAGAGAGAGTCCTTGTGTGGGATGGTGTTAGGGTGATCCTAATTTTCACAATAACTTGGTTTTGTTTTTCAAACCTCCATTAGTTTATCCAACTGTTTGTTTATAGGCTAGTTTCTAAGCTCACCTAGAGCTTTCGGGGTTGCCAGCTCACCAAAACAGCTAAACACGTCAGGATTAATCATTTAAATGAAGGCTTTGGGGCTTTTCCCTGTAGCAGAAAGCTTGTGGGAAGTGTATTGATCGGAAAGCACCAGCATGCCTGCCAGAGACCTGGCACTGGGTGTGTGCTGGCTGCTGCAGGCCACAGTAAATCTGTGGCAGGCCTCTGTGCCATGTGTCTGAGCCCGTGGAGAACCCACTCTTTCCACCCAGTAAGCCAGTTGTGGATGACTTTTTTCCTCTTCAGGCCAGGGTTTTTCCTTAGAAACCTGCTAGTGTTTTCAGCTGCCTGGAGTGGGTGGTGCGAGTATATCCCATGCTTTGTGCATCAGGCTGTCAGGGTGGATTCCTGGGGACCCACGGGCCCTGAACAGGGCGACAGGACTGGCAGGCTGAAAGCAGGGCAAGGGGAGTCCTACCTGTGGTTGCAGAAGCAGCAGGCTGTGCAACTGATTTAATATATAGGTTCAAAAATCATTAGCTGAGGGTTTTTCTTCAGATAGTTTAAAAATACTTGTTCTTACAGCTCTTGAAGCATGACTCACCCTCAAGTCTTCCCCCTTTACAGTTATGCTTCACTGTGGGTCTGCTCATGCCCGGCGCTTGTAAACCAGCAGAGCCCATTTCTGTGTCTCCCGCAGCTTCAAGAAAGGTCTTAGCAGCCCGCCTTGTGTTGTTAGAAACTACACATTCGTCAGGGCATCCTATGGCCAAAAGAACATGGGGCATCACCAGCCCCGAGAACTGGGCCCCGTCTCTGCTCACTCAGGGCCGTCTCTGCTCACTCAGGGCTCCTGCAGTGGCTCCTCTTGAGCTGAGGGCCCTGAGCAGGTCCAGGCTCCCTAAACTGATCAACAAGCTTTGATTTGTCAGCTGATTGATTGGCACCTTTTTCCCTTTCTGATGGGAACTCCCTCGTGGTCACGGGCACATTAGTTTTCTCCCATATGATGAACCACCTGCTTTCTTGATTTTTGAAGTAAGAAGTATCATGCTTGTGACAAAAAAAATCAAACCAAAAACCTGAAACTTTCATCTTTTCCAATGAAGGCGGTGAGGCCCCTGCTCAGACAGTGGGCTCCCGGATCACGGAGGACATTGCAGGGTGTCTTGGTCTGAGCACTGCCTACATTCTTGGGGTGTGTGAGCCTTGATGGATGGGAAGCCACCTGGCAGGACAGTGGGCAGGTTAGAGTCCCTGTTTACTGGGGTGTGTCTGCTTTGTCCTCCCTGACTGCTGTCACCTCCCCCAAAAGTTCCATGAAAACTCAGCGAGGTGACCAGCCCACATTGTCTCATTACCCTGAGGTTTTACATGTAACTATTTCTCCATCTTAACTTCCTTAAAGTCAAAGCTACTTAACCACTGAGTGTGATATGAGGGCCAGTAACCATAGCACACTGGGGGTTTACCCTCAGCTCTCCTGCCCACTGAGCCTGCCGTTATCGCCGACTTCCTGGAGCTCACAGGGTCTCTTTGACAGGACAGTGGGGACTGGTGTGTCCTGGTGTGGCCTTGAGCTTTGTGACTTACCTGGAAGCATATGCTGTCAGCTCTGGCCTGGAGAAATCTAATAATGCCAGAGGGGAAATTATGGTGCTGATATGTTTCTGGGCTGCCAGAAGCACACTGGGGTGGGCCACAGACAAACTTGCCACACCCTGACCTACCTTAGGGTGTTAGAGTGGGCAGTCTCGCCAAGGACAAATCCAAAGGCTATTGGGCGGGCCATATCCCTGAGGCCAGGGACTGGAGCAGGGGTGGGTAGCATCCTCAGACAAGAGTTCACCTGCCTCAGCACCCTGGCAGGGTGCAGCAGGCTCTGGGCATGGGTGTGGGTGGGACTGCTGAGTCCTAAGCTCTCCTGTAAGTTTCCTCTGGGCCAAATCAAGCCACATTCCTAAGCTGTGGAAACCACTGGTGTTGAGAGCCTGCCTGCCTCTCCTCACTGCTCCTGGTCTTGCCAGGTGGCATTTACTAGCCAACACTGGAGAGCAGCTTAGAACCGGCTTCTGTGCTTGCTCTCAAGTTCTGTAAGGGGCATGCTTTACTTTATTAAGGAATAAACTAGGAAAACCTTACTTCGGTGGGAAACAGGAACAGGTATTTGCTTGAAAGCAGCAGCCCCCTGGAGAAGTCTCAGTGTCTGTGACGACAGCTGGAAACATCGCGTTTCTCGCAGGTCGGCCTGGCCTCCTGGAGTTGGAGTGTTTGCCACTCAAAGAGGGTGGGGTTGGCTGCAGAAGCCAGGAGGTCGGATTAGGAGAAAACGTCATTAAGCTGAGAAGACCTAAGCGTTCTAAAGGAAAAAGCCAACTTTGCAATAACACAGGACTGTGATTTCCTTCTGGGTCCTTAATTTTTAAAAATACATGTGAGATCTCTTATAAGAAAAAGCCACCCCTTGATGAACTAGCTCTTCCCCTGTTTAGAATAGATTTAACAAATGCCTGCAAATACAGGGCACAATGATCTCTTGGTGTGTAGCCCTGTCTCCTAAGTGATGAGTTGGGAGACTATTCATGCTTAATTTGACATTGCTTAAAACAATTTCAAACAAGAAGTTGAATGACTTCAGAGCCTGTGGTTTGTTCTTAAATGTGATCAAATGACTTCATAGAAAAACTTCTGTGGGATGATGGATTTCATCCTGCCAGCTAAGGGTCTCTCAGATTCAGCCTGTGAATTAGGATCATCTAGATAGGTAGTGTTACTTTGGGTCAAAAACTAAATGTGGCCTTCATGGTTTTACGGTTGGTTTTTCCTATGTGAGTCATGTAAGTGGCTCTGAAGGCAAATCCAGTGGAGAATTTTAGAAGATACTTAGGGCTCTGGTTCTGTTGGAATAAATCAACCTTGCAAGGAGACTTAAGTAGAAAAAAACTCATGTGGATGCATAAATTATAGTATATTTGTGTAAAATTAGTTTTCTTAATTCAGTGACATCTTCCTTGTGAGTAAAAGCTTAACATTGCAGTTGGCAGTTGTTTCTCACATGCTCCATGAGCTAAAGACTTTGCAGTTTAAAGAGTGAGTCATTTCCTATGACTGAGCCAGTGTGTGCACTGCCAGGAATGCTTTGAAGGCAGGAATCACAAAATCCTCCTGTCTATTTCTGAATCTCTTTCTTTACCATCAATACTACACAAAATTATGGAAGTATTTTTGAAGGACATTTTACATTTTGAAATATGTGTTATCGTTTGTAGACAGTCTTCCATGCTCTTACTCGAGAAGCAAAGGGGGGATGTGGAAGTGTTTTTATTAAATTAGTAAATTCTGAGAAATAAAAGTAAAGGCACTTTTTATTCCCAATAAATATTCCTGGCATATATTAGGCATCAAATGGCTGAAGAGCAAACACTTACAAGCAGTGGGGTGGCTGCTGGAGCCCTTTCTCCATTTCTCTCTGTTTACCTACCATGAGGTGTGCAGAAATTGCTCCAGGGCTCCATTTACAGGGATGTCACTGTGTTTTGTCAAAGCCTGTGCCTAGAGCAGTACTCCACCTTCTCTGCAGGGTAATTAGTATTTTCTCTCATCTGCAGAAGTATACTGGATTTGGGTGATAAACTTCATCTCTGAGTCAGGTCCATTTCAGCACAGGTAGCCGAGGAGGATCAGGATCAGGAGCTTGGGCCCAGGCCACAGGCTGCCTGCGTGCTAGTTCCCTGCCTCCCCGGCCTCTGGAAAGTCAGCACTAAGAAGGGTGTGCTTCCATCCGGGCAGCATGACCATACTTCCTGACAGTAGCCTGGGAGTCTGCAGCTGGCAGAGATGATTCAAAAGGGCGATCCTAAGCCAGATTCATTCTGTCTCTTATCTATCATTGTTTATTATCTATCTGTCCATCCATCATCTGTCTGTCAACCTATCTGTTTTTTATATTCTGTTGAAATAAGACCCCTGGGTTCCTTAGGAGGAGGAGGGCTTGGTTTGCAGGGGGCCTGGAGCAGGGATTTGTGCTGGGCAGCCTCTGGCCCTTGCATACCAGGCAGCTTGCGTACCAGGGTATGCCCCTGATAAGCACACCCTGTGCAGAGGGCAGGCCAGATCATTCACATCTGGGTGTATCACCTGCCCCTCCGCAAGTGACAGCCACACAGGACCCATACTTTCAATGGAAGAGGCTGAAAGGGGCGCCTGTAAGGGGATGGGGATGAAGACCAAGTGATCCTGAAAGCTGGCTGAAGCCAGCTGGAAGGTTCATTGCCCCTGAGATGATGGGTGGGCAGACCCGGGCCCCTCTTGGCCCAGGTGCTGAGGAAAGTGGGTATGCAAACACCCACCAGCTCTAGGACCCACTCGTACCTTCTGTTTCATCCCATGCTACCTTCCCTTTCCCGTTTGTCACACACAACACTAGACTGTATAAACGTATGTGTACACATGCCTATTACATACACATATAGAATATACATTATATGTGTGTTAAATATTATGGGATTATAATATATATTTTACAATATACATTTGCACATATGTTTGCGTATGTTTATATTCTGCACATATTTACATGTGCATGATTTGGTCCTATATGCATGTCATGAATATTTGTATTTGTATATAGCAATTGTTATGCATATATTCACAGATCACACATGTATGCACATATTACATATTTATACCCTTTACACATATGTACAAGTCATGCACATACATATTCATATGTGTTATTATTTGCATATTGCATATGCGTATATTTACATGTACTGTGCATGTACATGCCTACACAATCTGCCCATGTTGGCATGTGTTTGCATGTTTGTATATTCATGTATATTATGCACATGTGCATATTCTATTCATATTTGCCCTCATATATGCATGTGCTCCACATTTTGGGTGTATTTATGTATTGTGCATACCATGCATATTTGCATACTTCTGCATATCATGCATATGTTACAAGACTTTTAAATATAGAATACAATATAATATACAGATATGTAAATACATGTGTATACATGGGTGTATAGTCTAGTGTTGTATGTGTGACAAATAGAGAAAAAAAGTGGAATGAAAAGATGTTGAGCATGTTTTATATAATATGTAAAAATATATGAGTATGTATATTCCATGTGTGTGCATAATATACAACACAAATAGTAACATATATATATGTAATCTAGCATGAGATGTAATGTTTTATTCTATAGGTATATTAGTATATAATGTTACACGTAATATATTTTTGTTGGAAGTTTTATATTTATAAACGCAAGTACACGAGTCAGTTCCCCATAAAAGTGCCAGCACTACTGATTAAATTTTGCACCAGACTCCATACCCAATGCCATTTTATTTTTTAATGTGTTTTAAAAATAAAAGCATTTATTTTTAATGTTTTCCTTGTGCAGGTGCACTTAGAGTGGACAGGTCACTGTCTTTGGGCTTCCAGCAGAAGTGTGTGGTCATCAGTCCCCTGGGCAGAGTAAACATCATTGATGGGAGGTAGGGCAGACGGCTGGCCACACTGCTGTGCATCTCAGCAGCATCTCCCGTGTGTGGAGAGCAGTGCTGATGGCCCCACAAATGGAGGCCCCGACAGGATCGCTTTCATGTCTGCAGGGTGACCAGCATCACTGTTTTCATGTGGGTTTAGGGTAAATATGTCCTTTTTCAGTCTCTTAAGAACCAGTAGTCCCCAGGCCAACACTCCTGTCCACACCATACTCATACTCTGGACCAGTCTGGGTAGAAATTCCCATCATCAGAGGTTGACTTGAAGAGGCTTCTCATGGTTTCCTGCATCGTGCCAGCTCTTGTTTTGCTGTGGGCCTCCCAGTCACTGGACTCCACTATCATTTGTTTCCATTTTGTGTAACTTACAGACCAACTAACATCTTAACACATTTTAGCCCATTTATAAATGCTTTGTTTCCCTTCCCCCAGGGCTACCAGGGCATGGTGGACGGCGGCAACAACATCGTCGAAGCCAACTGGGAAAGCGTCTCGAACATTCTGCAAGTGGTATGTGCTGAGTTTCCAGTAATATTAAAGCAGATGAACCTTTCCCTCCTGGCATTATTTTTATCTACTACTGTGGAAAGAAAACATCTTTAATTTATTATTTAATTACATTTACGAAAATCTTTACATCATGCAAGACCGAGGAATTATCCTTGCAATAAAAAGTTGGTGCGATAGCGAGGTGGCACCTGTGGTGGATTTCGACTTCCTCTAGACCAGATTTAATGTCAAAGCAGCTTTGGTTTGTTGGTGCTGTGTGTTTGCTGGCAAGTCTCCATGCCTGCTGGGTGTTTGCAAGTCACTTGGTCCCCGCCAGAGCCGCCAGGGGCTGTGGACCTAGCAGGAACATAGCATTCTTGTTCTGGCCTAAACCAGACAGAGCTAGCTCCTGTGGTGGGAGCCAGGGTGAGGCTCTTAGCACTTCAGGTAAAATCGTGGCTAACTTCTAATTAAAACCTGCCAGAATGGACCTAATAAATTCCTGGAACACTACAGTTTAGTGAAGACTCCAAGTCAGTTGAGAAATAGAACTCATGTGGAAAGAACAGACTTCATGAAAATCTTAGCTGTGGTTTAAGCTTTGAAATATATCTGTTAACCATGACTCAGGTTGAGTATTTTTTTAATAGAAAATGAACAGGTCAATATAATTCCTCTGAAGGTATTAGTGCAACAGAAGAATGAATGAAAGAAATAATATATAACTATAAATGGAATATTATTCAACCATAAAAAAGGTAATTCTGTCACATGGGACAATATGGATGGACCTCGAGGGCATTATGCTAAGTGAATTAAGTCACAGAGAAATGCCATCAAAGCTCTCTGTACACGGAATCTAAAACAGCCGAATTCCTGGAATGAGAGAGCAGAACAGTAGCTGCCAGGGGCTGGGGTGGGGATACAGGGAGGTACTGGTCAAAGGGCACAAGCTTCCAGTCATAAGACAAGTGAGTTTGCGGTCTGACGTACAGCGTGGTGACTTTAGTTAGCAGTGGATAATGCCCTGATACTTGCTGGGAGTGGATCCTGAGTGTTCTCAGTGCACACACCCTGGGAGGTGGCGGAGGTGTTACTGGATGTGATGGTGCTGGTCACTTCACATCACAATGTTAGACATCACGTCATTACCATAAAAATGCTCATGTGTGTAATTCCTCCAGGTGGTAAAGATACCTCGAGACAAGTGCTGGGCATAGAAGCCACAGGGCATAAATCTGCAAAGAAGTAAAAAGCTAACCTTCTCAAACAATATGGCTTCTCTCTCACTTACCAACTTTACATCTCCCTGTATGGCCCCGGAAGATGACTGGTTAGCCAGAGATGGGTAAGATTCCTCAAGGGAGGAACAACCTAAGACAGGCACAGTCGCAGGGGGGCCATCAGGTGA